TTTTTTCTTGGGAAAAAAACTTCATGAAACTTCCTAGATTCTGGAGAGCAATTTTCCAGGCTGCCTCTCAGGTGTTTGTGAGAATGTGTCCAGTGTGGCTGTGGCATGGCTGATATGGGGAGGATTCTGTTTCTCCTGTTCCCTGCAAATACCTGCATGAAAACTATACTGGACTTTAACCTCGAGTTATAAGTGTGTGTATGTAAATAGCAAGTGACTATAACACCTTTGAGAGATGTGGTGGTAAACACCCAGTTCCTTCATGTGTTTTATTTGGTGGGGGTGATCTCTTTTTAATTCGTTTGTTTTTTTCTTTCCAAAACAAAAATTCAATTGGAATTAGTTATCCTCCACACTTGTTTTTCATTATGTTAATTTACTAAACTATGTGTTGGACTACTAAGCTGTCCTGGTGAATGGTGGTGTCCTACAAGCTCTTGAGCTGAATCCCAGGGAGAACTCCTGTTTGCATAATGGCAGTATTTTCAGACACCAGCTGTCTGGTGTCAAAACTACTTTGACTAGTTGCTGTTTTTAAGTACAGCAGCATTAACTGCCTCAGATTCCTGATACAGAAACATCAGTAAAAGGTGCCTTTAGGTTTTTCTCAATTCAGTGAGGAGCTAGATTATTTATGGATACCTAAGTAAAGGAATCTTATTTATAGAACACTGAAAGCTAGTTCTGAATAAAATGCAGTTATGACTAATTCTTTGCACTTCAGCTAATTGCCTTCTAGGCTTGGCAGTGTTCTCAAAAATATTAAAAAAAAAAAAATTGGGGGAAGATATCTAAGAGCAGAACAACATAGTACTTCAGGATGCTACCGATGCTTAAATTAATCCTTCCTCTTTTCTAGTCGTTACAACCAAAGAAATTTATTACAGACCACTGTATTTATAACCGTGAGTTATTTCCAACAATAGATTGTCTCCCTAGTTTTTTTATACCATTAATAATCAGATAGTAAATATACGAATTACTTCATGCAGAGCAGAATTAGTGGGAGGTGTACAAAGCACACAGTGTAGTGTAGTTGATGTGTGTTGCCGTAGGAGAGGTAAAATGAAATGTGCAGCGGTAAAATGTATCGTGTTTGCTTTGACAGTGCTTTATAGATTTAATGATTGTTTTCATGTATGAATAAAGTGCTGAGTGATATTCAGCCATGTTTCTGTCCTTAAAATGCATCTAAATATTTGAATATGTTTCCTAATATCTTGTCTTATTATTTAATGCTGAAATTTATTACATATCTAAAGATGGGAATACCTACTTTCTTTTTAAAGTGTAATAATTAAAGGAAGGAGGCTTTTTTAAATACGAAAAACTTAAACTTGGTATTACATATGAAAGTTGCTAAAATAGGAAACTCATCTTGCTTTTCTGAGTACAATTTGTGACAGATGACCCACTTGGATTTTGAGTTCTTGACGCAGGCTGAAAACTCTCTGTGATAAGGTCTATTCTGTTGTTTATTAGAAAATTTGTTAGTGACAAGATTGGTGCAAAATAATATTTACATACCCTGCATGCTTTTTTTTTCTTTCCTGGTAAATAATAGCTTGCATGAAAAGAACTGCAGCTTCCTAGCTTTTTGCACATGCACACCCATTTTTTTAGCCCTTTTATTTGTCATACACGCTATCAATATCCTTATTCTCAGGAGGAAGCCTGGTAGTAAACTGTCGGCCCTGACTGAAAAACTGCAGACCTACTTGCTGCATATAAAACCAGGCATATTAAAGTGATTAGAGAAATACATTAGAGTATGTATGTTCAGCAGATGTTAACATGGTTATAACTTGTGCTCTGCCACACTGAATATAAATTTTCAGTAGCTGTGCTAAATATAGCTACTTTAGTTTTAATCAGTGCAATTGAGTGGTATCTGATGGTACACATAATACCTGTAGTGCGTAATTTAACGTAAAGGCAAACACATTAAATCAAATGCTTGCACAGGTTTATTCTGTGTGTAATCCTCACCTCCAAATTTCATTTAAAAAATAACGGTATGATCAGGGAAACACTGTTGAAGGTACTGTAGAAACAATGATGGATCAGAATCTGCCATATCATCTTGCTTTTTGGTTGGATTGCTGAGTTGATTTAACTTTCCCCTTCTCCCTCCTCTCTCTTTTCTGTAGTACAAACAAAATCCAGAAATGTTTAAACAGACAGCTCGACTTTGGGCACATGTGTATGCTGGAGCACCAGTTTCTAGTCCAGAATACACCAAAAAAATAGAAAACCTTTGTGCTATGGGCTTTGATAGGGTAAGTATATATAAACTTAAATATTTTCAGAAGGGGCAGGGCAAGTATATGTGTATAAATACAGGGATTCATTAGTATACAAAAGTTGGCTCACTACTTCCATGACCTTTTGTAGGTCTAATCATTCCATTTTGCTAATTATTTTTAAGGATTGGAGTTTTAAAATACTATGTAATTAGTAAATATTGTGAGCTACCTCTGCCTCTTTTGAAACACTTTTTCTATAAATTATTAGTTAGGATGTAACAAATGGCAAACTAACATGTTCTGATTAATCTGTGAACTTTTCATTCCACTGCAGGTTCACACGCTGAAAATATTATCACTTTTGTTTTCTCATTGCAGAATGCAGTAATAGATTTTGCTAATTATTTTTAAGGATTGGAGTTTTAAAATACTATGTAATTAGTAAATATTGTGAGCTACCTCTGCCTCTTTTGAAACACTTTTTTGTTTTCTCATTGCAGAATGCAGTAATAGTGGCCTTGTCTTCAAAATCATGGGATGTAGAGACTGCAACAGAATTACTCCTGAGTAACTGAGCCATGTAGAGAGAGCTGCTTCAGTAGTCCAGCTTGCCTCTTCTGGAGGAGCATCACCATCTGTTATTTTTAGGATTCTATATAGATTCTCTTTTAAAACTGGCACTCTTAATGCTATATAAGCACTATTGGAGACTGAAAAAAAAAAAAACGCTGTGTAAATAAAGCTAATTAAACATCTGTGTAAATTTAAAAAGGGGAAATACTTTAATTTTTTTTTCTTACTAAATATTGTAAAAATTCTTTGAGCTCAGCTAAAATAATGGGGGAAAAACATGCCTACTTTAGTGTTTAGCAGTGTGACGAAGACTAGCAGGAACTTGCTTCAGGATTTTGATTTAGTAATTCAGAAAGCAACATTACTGAGTGTTAGTCATCAATTGTTGGTGCCACTCATCACAGCTATCTTACTGTTTTTAACATGGATCCTATGTGCCTGTGGATTGACCTATGTTTGCATGCTGTACTTAATAGACATATTAGGTAGTGTCTCTGAAGAGAGCACCATTGAAATACTCGAGTGTTCTTGTAACTTTTTCCTGAAAGACTTTCAAGACTTACCCAAAGTTCCAAATGGTGACCTATTCAGAACCAGTTTCTTTCTAGTTTATTGATTGGGAAACCTGATTCTCCTCTCCCTTACATCATACAGCTGAAAATCCTGACTAGATTATTTTTCATCATCTGTGGATATTATGTGTGCTATTTACAGTAGTCTAGGCTCCCCTTTTAAAAATATATTTTGAATTATCAGTAATGATTTTCATCCATCATGTTTTCTACAAAAACTTGTAAGGAGTATGCCTCGATGTAGCACAAAAAAATGGAGCTGGTTTTCTTTTCTTTCCATTTTTTTTTTTTGGTCTTAAATAGATGTAAAATGTTCTTCAGTACATTCTGGATAATATGATTTCACTGGACTTGAAGGAGGAGAAAGCTGATTCTCTAGTGTACTGAGAATTGAAAAAATTTTTCTTTGAGTACTTGATATGATGCAATCAGCTGTATTTTGCAGCGGTTTTCTAGCTTTATCTTGGGCTTCAATTTAAGGATTGCTTACCAGGTACTTTAAAATTCATCCTTGCTTGCATTTTTCTCTAGTTGACACATGGAGAGGCTGTGTTGGTGTTTTTACTGTACATACATCAAATGCACATAGAAGTAGAAGTGTGTTCTCAATTTAGCTTTCTTTTGGATTGATGTTTCTGATAAACAAGAACTGAAATCTTATCTTGGCTTGTACATACAGTCAGTCTTTTTATGCGTATTAAAATGACATTTCATCCTGAGTGCAAAATCTTGAAAATTATTAGTTTTGCAACTTCAAACACTAGTACATCTATTTAAAGAGAGCTGTAATGTCTTTGTGAATATGATGCTAACTTTTGAGAATATATCTGACAAGGAAGTTCAGAGAAATCCTGAGACTGGAGAGTGGGGATTGTGGATAATGGAGTACTGTATAAGTTAACTTTTCCATGACTCTTTTTTTCTCCTAAACTGTGGATTAATGGGGTGGAGACATATATGTCTGTTTGAGGTGTTTTTTTTCTGAAGCTATGAAGTATGAGTTGAAATAGTTTCACACTTCATAGACGGTTTGTTTATAAATCATACTGGAGGAAATCAGGAACATTATTGTATCTGTTAAATATCTGGAACATAGTGGTAGGGGAACAGAACCAGAAAATAGAACTGTAGAGACCTAGCTAGTTCAGGGATGTTCCCTCTACTGCTCTGTCTGATGTGTCCAAACTTAAAATATTTCAGGGCACAGACAGTAAATACTTTGAACTCATATCAGTGCAATACTAAATGCATTTGCTTTGTCTTTATACTTAACTGCTTTTTAAGGTGTAGTCAGTGACCAGTTTTCTTGAGTTAGTGTAGATCGTTTGCAATGATGCCAAAGGAAATGAGTTGTTTTGTCTTTCCTTATATTTATTTATTTTTTTAACAAGAAGCTGGTACTGTCAACTGGTTTGCTAGGTGAAAACCAGGGACAGTAGGAAACTACAGCAAAATGCCACTTGTATTAATCTCAAGTTGCTGTGTTTTCTGTTATACAGGCTAAGAACTTCTTGATTACATCAACTTTTTTTTTGTTTACCCTGGTGGTAATTATAAATTGCTGACTACTTTCCCTTGTTCTTCACTGCTATTTATCAAAGGAAAGAACTTGGAAATCTTTGTCGGGGACATAAAACTTCTCAGTTACGGGCTTCTGAACGCGTCTTTTCGTAAGATTAGTCACCTAAGAAGAGCAGGTTTTTCCAACAGTATGTAAAGAGATAAAGGAAGCCGGGGGAGGGGGAGAAATGAGGAAATGGTTCTCAGGTGAGCATGGTCACCTCTGCCAATACCCTATTAAGTTTTATTTCTCTCATGAATTTACCTCATTTTCTTCTCTCCTGCAAAACAGTCGTCTTCCCCTTTCTCCTTATGTATGGATGTTGGATACTTGTTTTTGCTCTCCATCCATGTGCTTGGTAGCAAAGATACCTTGATGCTAGCTCAGATGCTGGCAAGAGGGGAAGCTTCTCAAGAACTGAGCTGGGAAAGAAACATGACCTGGCATTAAGGAGACATCTGTGGTCTGAAGTCCCTCTGAATTTAGACATGTGAGTCCTTTATAAGGAATGTTTTTGTACTCTTGGTAATTATCAGAGTTGAATATAGGGATGATGTTGTACAAGGTTGGTGTAACTGCAGCTGGGGCTGAGCCCTAGGAATTTTGCTGTTAGTGTTCAGTTTATCATTGTGAGTTTGTACATAGGAAATGGTAGTTCTGTTTTCTGTGTGACTGAACGTCGCTATATTCAGGGCCCTGTGCATTCACAGACGTGGAGCTGCCGTGCAGTCCGCTGCGGCTGCGGGCTCAGGCTGCACATTTCCCACTTTCTTACAACAAGAACGTAAAACATGGGTACAGTTACTTTCTAAGTACAAATAAATCCGGTGCTGCCGTCTTCTATTGTGTAAGACCACAGCTTGAAACAGTAATTTTGAAGTCTAAACGGCCCCATTTTTCTAAGCAAAGTGTTGGTAATGAAGCTTACTGATTGCCAGAGCATCGATCAGATTTCACTGCTGAACGTTTTAACATGCATTGAGCAAAGTGGTTTATCGCGTTTGTTTTGTTGGTGGGGGACAAGAGAATCCTTTCTCATCCAGGTCCTCAAAAAGTAAACTACAGCTTCTTTCAAAGGTAGAGAAACGCCCTCTTCTGTTGCCAGAAGCCTCTGTTTTCCCATGAGTGCCAAAAGCCCTGACTATATCCCACTCCCACTTGCCAAATTCACAGCTCCCTCCTGTTGCTTCTGTGAACAAGCTGTGTTCTCAATATGACAAACTGGTGCATTTTGGAGACAAAAACTAAAGAACATATCCTTCTGGAAAGATGTGGCACTTAGTGCTGCTCGTTCTGCATATTCCCAACTTAATTATTATTTTTTTCCTAAAAAAGCTTGCAACAGAGTACATGGGGCCTTGACTATAATTGGTTCAGTAGTATTTATCCAAGCAATTAGGTACCTAGTGGTGTAGAAATATGTCTTGGCTTTTTAAAATTATCATTGTATTTAACTGTTTGCCAAGTAAATTAGTAGGGGAACACTGACATAAGGAATATAGGGTCTTTTTGTTGTTGTTGTCTGAAAGGAGGAATTAAATAGCCAGAAAGAAGCTTACCTTGTAATGCCAAATTTGCATTATATGGTGTGGGTAACAGAAACGTTTAAACTATGCAAATTTAAGCTTCACAGCTGTGAATCAGACTAGGCACTTCAGAGCATATGGATTGCTTATTTAATTGGGAAAGGGAGATGGGGGGGGGGGGAAATCAAAACACAGTTTTAAGCGAGAGTTGTTGCTTACTGCATGTACTGCGAAGGTGAAGTGTTCCATTTTCAGCGCAAGGGGAAACCGAACAACTGTGTGCACATCCCTTGTTTCCTTCCTGAATACCAACAGAAGGTAGCTTAGACTTGGAGGCTTGCCCAAAATGGGAACGTGTTACATAACTTAGCAGTGAAAGTTAGTTTTACTTCATGTCTGCTGATGAGTGGATGCAACGAGAAGATGAGGAATCCTCTCCTGCTGTGTTTTGTTGATAGAGTTGGTGAGAAGCATCTCGATGAGCGTGGCCACTGATTTGTGACCGGGTGGTTGGTTTCGTATGGTTTTGATGAGCAATCGGCTCAACAATAGGTAGCGAAAGCGCGTTTCGTCGTGCCGTCTGTCGTGTCGCAGAACTAAAGCATGAAAGTCAAGATGCTCGTTGGGTGCCTAAAGCTTTTTCTGGGAAAACAAAACTGCATAGATGTTTACACTGTTACCGTCCTCATTTTCCAGGCACAGCGTTCTCCTACAGCTAGGCAAAGGGGCAATCGCTTCGTTCTTAATAGTTTTCGGATCTATTCCAAACCTGTCAGTAAATCATGTAGCTTGCTCTTCCCGTTTGTGGTGTTAGTGTCGCCAGCTGATTCATCATTAGACTCACACAAGACCGGCTGTCCTTAACGCGTTTTGCTTCTCGCTTGGTTACCCAGCTGCAGTGCTCCGTAGGTAGCAACTCCACTTCCGACTTGTTCTCGCTGGACAAACTCTTGCAAATCATTTGCACTGTACTGTGCCGTGATGTTCCTTCTCCGCTGTCACCTGCTTTGTAGGCATCAAAATAGCTAGCCGATCGCTTACGGTGCTGAGCCGTTCATCGATGACGTAAGTTAAGATATATGACTCAACAGACAAGGAAATGTACTGTGAAACTGCTGTACTTGTCCGTGTCATGGTTTGCGGCAACTGCTGGTGCTCTTGTTGTGGTGTCTGAAGGAGGCTGCCATCATTCGAATGCTGATGTCAACTGTCGAAGAACCTGGCTTTTCACTTACCGTTTCCATCCTAAATTCTGACTTTCTAACTTAAAAAAACAAAAAAATATTTACCAATAAAATATATCGCAGGAGGTTGGCTCCTGAGCATCAGACTTCCTGTACAGGAGGAGTGGGTGGGCTGGAATGCAGCATCAGTGTTTTTTGTCTTGAAAATAAAAACTACATAAACACTTTTGTACACAAATGATTTTTTAATAAACACACATTTTAAAAGATGTTGATTTTCACTGGGAATGCTTAACAATAAATGCATGTTTCCCTGAAAACAGTTTTCATTTTATTTCTGGTAATACAAATTTT